GTTTTGCGATACTTTGGAGAAAACTTTCGAAATTCCGAATGTCAGAGGGGATGTGACAACTGTAGGAATAGGCCAACGCTAAACGTACAACTGTACGATGCGACAGAAGTCGCCAAAAGCATCGTGCAATTGGTAAAGTTAAATCAACACGCAAACGTCACCATGCAACAGTTTGTTGGTATGATGAAACAAGAAACGACAAAAAGATTGTCTGATGTGGTACAGAAAAAGCAACTTGAATTTCCATCTGATTTTCGACCCACCGATCTAACACGAGATGATGTAGATAAATTATTCAAGATCTTGGTTCTCGAGAATTATTTGAATGAAAAAAGCGTTCCGAATTATTCGGGCTTTGTGGCATCATATATTAAAGTATAATCATAGAATTTTTTTTTGCATCTTAATGAAGAATCATCGCAGATAACTGACTTAACATTGACCGAACAGGCAGGTAAAAAGGCTGACGATATATTAAAAGGGAGAAGCAATAGAATTATGATATACCGTTCGCAGGTGAGGAAATGTATCTTTTTAACTATCATTATATAATCTATTCTTACACAAACTTTATCGTCTGGTCAGGAAAAGAGAGGAAGAAAGTAAATAGCGGTTTACATCGATGTTGGTTGGTGAGTTAGGGAGAAGAATCGTAGTTAATGAGATCAGAAGAATGTGACCGGTTTCCATTTTTTAAAACGAATTACGCAAGCCACTTTTTTTTTTTTTTTTAAACGCTGTTTTCAAATGTCAATGCACTAGGATTACAATGCTTGGGATTTAAGTTCCAAGATTTTTGGTATTTCAATATTTTTATTTTTGTTGGTTTCGATCACAATAGACCCCACATGACTGTCTATAACACATACGGAACATTTTAATACGTTTATGACGTCATACGCGTATTTCGAACACATGATTTGATTTTTAGATTATTTAAGTAAATATTCTAATTATTTGTAATAAAGAAAAAAAGATCATAGATGATTTACTTTTATTAAAGAATTCAGTTTAGGTTTGATTTAAAAAAAGAGATGCTTGGTTGGAGATATGACTGAATAGAATGTAATTGTGCGAAAGTTCAATTATAATTGTTTTGGCAGGAGAAATATGACATCCACTAAATCAACATGGTACCTCTCTTTAAAGATTTCTTCGATTTCTTTATGTATATTTTCAGCGATGTCGGTTCTTTCAATTTCTTCAGTAATTCGGGGAATTTCATTATTCAGAAGATCCTCTTCTTGATCTTCCAATAAATCTATATATACCGTAGCGTTTAGATTATCGTCAAGGATAAAAGGTCTTGGTGATTCACTATCTCAACAATACAAGATCTTGTTGATTCACTATTTCAAGCATACCTTTTATCTTTTCAGCAGCATTTTTCATGTCATCTGACGTTTTTTTATATGTGGTGACATCATCGAAGTCAAAATCGACTTCCATAGATCGGACATTGCCGAGCCAGCGACTTGCTGAAAAAAAATTTTTTCACATAAAAAGTCAATTCTTACATGAACTGTTCTCGGTGCGAATTTGCGAATTGTAAGAAAAAATTTGAATACCAATTTCTTGCATTTCATAGTGGCACGGGCGCATGTTTCTGATTAGATTTGTTCGCGCAAACTCATAAACAGTCTCTGATTATAATAAAATGAGCAATAAGCTAAAAAAATTATAAATTTAAAATTTCATTCACATTAGAGGCAAGGGAATTAATTACCTTCGCGCTTTGATTCAGCCATAATTCTAAAAACACTGTCAACACCCTTTTGTATACAAAAATGTTAGTGTGACCGACATGGAATAAAGAATTAATTAACCGGAGGTCGAACTTGCCAGGTATTTCGGACATTTTATGATATCCTTAAATTCTTGGAAAAACTTCTCTTCATGTACACGATTAATATTAAGAGAACTAGTAACTCTCGGCTTGCTAAAATAAAATTGTTATTAAAATTGTTATAAGGAAGACCATAAATTTTATTAATACACGTTACCCGTTCAATTCAACTTGCAAAGCCGATTTCAAGTCGATATTTTGAAATTGCTCATTCTCACGTAATACCGTGCAATCAAGATCTTTGGTTAGTTTATCGAGATGTTCATTGAAAGGAGAAACTTCTCGCAAAAACCTTGATATCTATTGTCAACAATTATAATTGAGTCGAACAGAAATTATCTAAATATATTAATGAGTTCGACGTGTACCTCTTTCGACTTTTCAGGAATGTCTGCCCTAATACGTTGGTTGACAAAAATCAGCCGCTGGATAATTTTCTGTTTCTTTTCCTAAGAAAAGATATATATGTATGTATATATGAAAATTAAATATCAAAAATAAAATAAGTATATCATATACCCTTGTAAAAGAATAATTACAGTAAACTCATTTAGGTTGACAATGCGATCAAGTAGAATTGCAAGTCTGTCGCTAGAAACACTCAAATCTTGACACCGAGATTCAAGCGTTCGCGCATAATTTAGAACGCTGTTATATTTTGCTTTTACTGCCTCATTTTCGACCTTTTTTTCAAGAAATGATCTGCAAATCGAAAAAAAAAATAATTTTAGAGAAGTGCAAAAAAGATAAAAATATTGATCATATTTACACTATTATATTTTCCATATTTGGAGTGTGATAATAATGCTGTTTCAGGAATAATTTAGTTGACTCTATAATTTTATTTATTTTTTCCTTAATCTCTGAGACGTTGTTCAGCATGCCTTCAACTTCAATGAATTTCGATACATGATCTTCTCGACATTTCTAATGTTGAATAAAACATGGTAAAAAAAATTACGACAAATGCAAAATGGGACAAAGTTTTACGATTACCTGTAACAGTCGCTGAACTTGGCGCGATGAACCATCCAAGTTACCTTTCTCCATATAACGCTGGGACTTGGCACTAAAGCAATAGTAATAAATAATAAATAAATAAATAAATGCCAATGCATTTCGCGTTCCTCAGTTTAGTAACTTGAAATATTTTATACAGTACCTTAATTCTTTGTTTGCTGCCTTCATTACATTCGAAACAGATTTGAGGATCACTTTGGGTGAAGTTGTTTTAATCAAATCCTAAACAATTAGAAGTCTCACTTATCAAACTTCTGTAAGCAATAATGAAATCATGGATACTTCAAATTATGTGATGCTAACTAACCTCTATTAAAAATCGAATCTTGACCTTTTTTCCGTAATCAGCGTTAGATTGGCTAGAAATTTTCAGAAGTATGAATAATGTGATGTTATCCCCGTTGAACATCACAAAACTTGCAAACCTAAATGCCGAACTCTTTCCGACCGATTTTAATTTATCGCAGATGCTCTTGATCCTAATCTTGTGTGCATTTAAAATAATAAAATTGCTGATCATTAAAAAAAAAGTATGGCTGTATTCTATAGTTACCGTGGTAGTTGTTTCAATTCCTGTTAATGCAGAACTGAGAACTGTTAATAAAAATTTCAAACACTATGAACCGAGCAATAAGATTATGTTTTCTAGTTACTTTATCTCGTTCTTTGATCTTTTTTTCGTCATGAGCTCCTCGAAAAGTCGCCGGTACCCACTATCAACGTCTTCGATCGATCTGCAACTTTCTCGAAATACCTTTTTCATATATATCTTATTATACTTTTCGCGTATTTCTTCCGTGGTGCGTCGCTTCTGTAGTTCTTTCAGAAAACAAATAAAACTTCTAGCAAAAAATGACCCATGAAAATCAATGAAATAGAAATAATCGTCTTAATTGATTACCAATATCCGAAATTCGCGTAATTAGCTGTGCAGTTTGCATTTCTCCCTCCTCAATAATTGCCGTGATTTGCGCTATCTTTTTATCCAGCATTGCTTTACGAATCACATAATTCTCTTCGGTCGCATTTGATAAGGCCTCCTTGTTACGTTTCGATTGATGAGATCTTATCAACTGGTTTTGCTTTCTATAAGTGTGATGCGTATTACGACTATGTCAGAAAAAATTACATAGTATACCGTGATCGACTTGGTGTATAATAAATTCTTACATACGAAATCTTTAATTTTTTATATTGGAGAACCTCCCTGCACGATTAAAATGCACATGGAAACATATTAGTGTACTGATGACACGTGAACACGCAAAGTAAATAAATAATCTCTTTTACTTTGAAGATTTGATGTGTTCCACGAGGAATTTGAAAATAGGAACAAATTCATTTCGGTAAAGCCTAATGATAATAATTAAATTTCATAAAATTTTCACTTTATCACGAAAAACTATGCAGAGCAAGGTTAGTAGAATTACTTTTGAATTTCCTCGGTGGTTATTTCCTTTTCTGGAAAATCGCCAAGCAGATTACGTCTGTGACGATATCCAAGATCATTTTTCAACCATTGCAATATCAACTCTGGCGAAATCGTTCTGCTCGACTGCTTGGGTTTTTCTTTGACACGCGAATTCAATTGTTTGGAACGCGTACCATGCATTTTTTAGAAACAAATATTTGATGTCAGATGATCCTTATATAACAGTATTGCATGTTTGCCACGTGAACAATTAATTATGTTAGGTGTACACAAATTAGTGATTGAATAGCCTAAGACTACTTTTAATTAAATTTGATAGAATAACGGAGATATAATTTTAAAAATAAATTCCAATATTCAAATTAATACAGTATGCAGTATGTGAAATACAAGATTACTGGTCACAATTAAATAGTTATCAAAAATTTTATTTGCGTCAAAGACATTTACAAGAAATTTTATGATAACTCAATACAATATTTCTAATATTTAACATTGCTATTGATAAGGTTTCAATGACCCATGGATCTTTTGGGCTCGCTGAATATTGGCCACCAGAAGCAATATTGTTGAGTCAAAAAAATATAGATACCATAACAATACATATTATTTAACAGTAATAGGAGGTAAATAGGTTAAGTAAACCGTCTTAAGATAATCTCTACAAAATATACTAAAATACATGTCGGCTTTGATACCAATTAAAGATTACTGATAATACTAGATTTAATTAATATTCAATAACTACTCAATTGAAATTAAGTGATATAAAAGAAAAGTTGAAATAATTATTTTGCGAGTGCATATCTTCCACCATGACTTTCTGTGGTATCAATTATCTCTGATATGGTTTTTTGCATAATGCTCCATTCATCACTCCTTGGTTGAGATAACTAGGAAAAAATAAAAGTAAAGTACAGTAAGCATGTGTTGTAATATTAAATCATTGGTATCCACACATCAGGTGAAATATTTAATTACCTCTCCTATGTCATAAATATGGACTCTGCCGTCTGACGAACCAATAGCTGTCTTACGTCCTTCTTTATCCCATTGAATCTTGTTCAATGCTCTACCTTGACCAACCTGTGTATTCACAATTGGTACCTATAAATAGTTTGGATGTTTTGATGAGTATTCAACTTATAATAAATTTTTTAATAACTAGTAATAAAAATTACCTCGGCGTCAACATTTAAATTCCACAAAGCGAATTTACCCGTACCATCTACCGAAGCAAATAGCGCTGGGTGACTAGGGGACCACTTAACATCGTACACATAATCATCAGCTCCTTCGAAAGAATATAACGGAGCAACATTTTGCGTAGAAGTTGACGGTTTTGAAATTGACTTATTTTACAACAAAATATAATTAGAGAATTGGTCGTCAATATAATTTGACCGCAATGATTTTTTCTTACTTTAGCTCGCCACAACTTTACAGTCCAATCTACAGAAGAAGTCAAAAACAGGTCTGAAAAGTCAACGGGCCCAAACAAAGGATGGAAATGAAGGCCAGTAATTGGACCCCAATGTCCCTTGTAAAAATCGTATGGATTAATACCAGCTTTGCTAGAAAAAAAAATTATTTTTTAAAAAAAATGTGAACGGAAGTAAAATAAAATCAAAGTAATGAAAGATATAAATATAAATTACCCTCCGGCCCTTCCATATCGATTAGCTTGGTAGACATTACCCTCCTCAGTTCCAACCCAGAAAGCTGCAGTTTCATTATCTGGAAAACCAAGAGCCGTGACTGAAACCTCATCAGTTTTGCTGTGCTCTGCGTGAACTAATTCCAAGTGTTCCTAATAAGAGCAATATAATTAAATATAACGTGATGTGATGTAATACTATCTATTAATATTGTTATGATTATTTGAAATTTACCTGTGGCTGAGCAAGCATGTCCAATTGCCAAGAACAAACCAAACCATCTGTACTTGCAGTAACGAGATTGTGAGCGTTCTGAGTTCCGACCATTTGCATTGAATAGACAGGGTGCGTGTGTCCATTAGAAGAGAGAGGAGTTTTAAGAACGGGCAAAGACTTTGCTCGCATATCCCAGAGAACTATTTGACCAGAATAAGTACCTCCAATGACAAGAGTTGGGTGAAATTCGGAGAATGCAGTCGTAAGAACGTCCGACTGGATTCAAATACAATTTTTAATAAATCACATTGCCAAATATTTGTATATGACGAAAGGTAAACTCACCTGTGAATGAAATACGAATTCTGGGCGTTCAAGTAAACGTAAGCTCCACACTAGGACAACACCGTCAGGTTCATTCATCGCAATCGGATTTTTGTTGTATGAAGCAACAACCAACTCAGGATTCTAAATTGATAGACACTCTGAGATTCAATTCCTTTTTTTTTTTTTGAAAACATATAAAGCACCACTTCTTTAAAGTTTATCCGTACTTTTTTTGACCAGTTTACATCTGTGACAGAACGATTCTTACTCCATTGATCATCGAAGAATGAGCACATATATTTAACTCTATTCCCGGTTTTCTCATCACTTAACAAACACGATACATCAGTTAACTATAAGAACATATGATACTGAAAAATAAAAATTTGATAAACCCACCTTTCAACATCATTAATGATGCTATAGTCTTTCATGAAGTCATAATTTTCATTAAGCGCTCTTTCCACAATTTTTGTCGAATAATCTATGAATTCTACAAATTCAGCCGAGTTGACAATCTTCCTCTTTTCCTCCTCAGAAATATCTAATGGTAATAATTAATATTAGCTCATTTTCCGGATATACACAACATATCTCATTAAGCAGATTTTCACCTTTGAGTTTTTGAACTTTCTTCTTTTCCGCTTCAGCCCTTAAGCGTTCTTCTTCTAAAGCTATTTGTCGTGCCCTTTCTATTTCTTCTTGTTCTTTTAATATTTTAGCACGAATTTCTTGTTCAGAAGGCGGTGGTGGGCCAAAAGAATTTTCAGTTGTCTGAACTTCTTTATTGTAGAGAACTATTTCCTATATGATCGAATCATTAATTTACATGTTAGCAGAATTAACAATAGGGTTTAATTACACCGAAAACAAGATTACCCTTGGAGCAATGTCTAAAATAACAGCTTCAAAAGACGAGAACTCCGGAATAAAGGGGACAAAACGGCCATTATGAGGAGTTGTTATTTGAGGGCTGTGAAGATGAAATATAGATAATTAGATAAAAATGAAAATATATATTACACACAAGGATAAACTAATAAATACCTCTGAGGGACTGAAGTGCTCGGAGACACTCCGATATGCGTAGGAATGGTAACAGAAGTAGGGATTGAGTGTTTTTCATAACTCTCGGAATCTTCGCTTTTCGTGTGAGTTTGAGTTGTTGAATCACTTGAAGACTTGTCTTGGAGCAATGACTTGACGAGATCATCAACAATATCTTTTCGAGTCTTTCAATTGGAGAAGGTTTTCACAATTATCGACTTTGCTGATACTACGTGATTTAATGTAATAAATCATACATAAAGAAAAATACCTGTTTTTCTTTTGGTGCATCAGCTACTATAGAGGTCACTGACGTTGCATGACTGAATACTTGTTTGCGCTCCTCTCTTGCGCGTCGAAGTTCGGCAAGTTTCTGTCTTTTCTTTTCCAACTCTTCTTTTCTTCTTTCCATGTCCATTTCAATTAGTTTATTTCAACGAACCTCCTTAATGCTTTAACGGCTGAGTTCCATACATATATTTGACTCATTATGTCTGATCCAATGACATGGTAACCAATCGACAGAAAATAACGTTATCCGTCACGAACCTATTCTATCGGATGTACAAGATCCGATTGTGGTTACCATTTACCGCAGCTTATACATACTGATTGAGCAATGCGTGCGCTTAATTCAAGTTAATTTGTATCTTAGAAAGGTAATCCTTGTTACATACAAGTATGAATACGTATTATTTTTATTTTTTTACATTTACGGTTTTCATCGAAATGCAATAAAATCATTAACTGTATATGAAAAACAAGAAACTCCGAATAATCCCAAGAATATAAAAAGTAAGTATTGCAATGATGATGTGTTTATTATTAATTAATATAATTTAATTTTAGTATACAGTTAAATTAGAAATGCCAAAATTGTTTTTTCTTTCTTGATATTGTATAATTATCAAAATGTATTATTTGATATTTTAGAAATTATAAACTTAATTATTTTTGTTGCAATAGATTATATAATGAATAAAAACTTTTTTCTGTTTAATAAAATATTATATTTAATGCTTATTATAATAATAAAAAATTAATTTTTTTTATAAACTTATTATAAATAATTTATTTTTTTAACCTGCAATCAAGCTGAAGTTATATATTTATTAAATTATAAAATTATTACAAATATAAGAATAAATACAAATTATAAATTTCTCAATTCAACTTATCTGTCAATAATCAAAGGCTTCTAAATATAATATATAAAAATAATATATTATTTCTTATTAAATCAACTTAAAATTTGTTTCTAAATATAATTTTTTTACTTTATAAATCAATATTTTACTATTAGCTATTAATATATACAAAGAATTTAATAAAACAAAATGTTTTTAAATATAAATTATAAATTATATAATAATTTTGATTTATAATTTTCTAAAAATATTATAAAAATCTTTAAAAAATTTTATTATTATTTTTTTTAATATTTGAAAATTATTTATTTTTTGGTTTTTTTTTATTTTTTATTTTTTATACTTTTGTTTTTTCTTTCCTTTATACTTTTTTATTTTTTTTATATATATTCTTATATATCTTTTATCTCATTTTTTTTTTTTATTTTTATTTTTATCAAAGTTCAATTTTTTTTTTCTGAAGTTTTTTCTTTTTAAATCTTTTTTTTTTTTTGAAATAGTATTTTTTATTTATATTTTATTAACCAAGTAACTTTTTTTTTATTTAAAAATTATATTAAAAAGTAATAATCTTTTTTATATTATAAACTTTAATAAGTTTTTTTTTTTGTAATTTTTTAAAAAAAAGATAGATAATTTACTTTTCAAAAAATTAATATAATCATTATTATTAAATTTGATATTATTTATTTGTTAATAGTTAAATTAGGTATATCTAAAAAATTATAATTTAAACTGATGACAGGACTTTTACTTTCTATATAATTCCACTTGACATGTGAATTTTACTTCTTATGTAAAGTTTATATATAGTTAGATTAAAAAGGTGGGTTGACTATAGTTATATTTATAGTTAATGATAATATTAGTATATATAAGACCATTCAGATATATAGGTTAAAATATATTAAAATTTAATAAAAATCTGGTATTAAATATTTGTTTATCTTAAATATATATATATATATATATATTAAAAAATTATTATATAATTATATTATTTAAATTTTCAAGAAATAATTAAAAAATTTGATAAATAATATATAATAATTAGAAATTTTGTTTATTTTTATAAATAGAATTAATAATAATCATATATATATTTGTATTATTATATAAAAAAATTTAATTGATAATATAATTTTTGAATTAAATACAAATTCCAATTATTATTATTATTTTTTTTTAAGGAATAAAGACAATCATTAATCTCTTGTTTTTATTATAAGTAAGCTGCCATTATAACAGTATTATAAATTATTAAACTACACTATATCTCTTTTAAATATAAAGAGCTTAATGCAAGGCTCAAAAATTGGCTCTTTTGTCTAAGTAACTATTAACTACTCAAGTTTTATAGCAAACTTTTCAAACTCCTACAAATTCTTAAATGGTATCTAGCAGGAAGTTAGAAAAATTAAGGAGTACCCAAATATATAAAGACACTACAGCCAATATACAGATTTGCCTTCAAATTATAGTTGGGATTTAATATACTTACTTTCCAAAGTTGGCTTGATATATGACAAGTGAAATTAGTGAAAGAAAGAATATAAATGATACTACTTTAATGCATGAAGGCACTGCAGTCACTTTATGCAAATTTGATTTTCAAGTCATAAAAAGAATTTGGCATATCTATTATTTAAGTGTGATGAAAATGTATAATGGATAGAGTTGAATTAGATTTTTATATAGATGCTAATACCTAATCTTGCACAAGAGACTTATATTGTTGAGAAGTGAGTGAATATTGTCATCAGCTTGTTTGCGAAGATAACTAAAATCTTTGATCTTTATATATTGTCCTAATAGATTTCCATAAGATATAGCACCTAAAGATTCGGACAATAATAGTACACACTGGTTTTTTAAATATATCTAATCTAGCCATTAACAAGTAAGCAATATTGAATTTGATAATGATGGTTATGCTGATCTTTTGGAGGGGATAAACCATTTGTCTTTTTTCTAAAAAATCATGAAAGAGAAAAACTTGTCAAAGTTCATTTCTTGGAAAAGATTTGCTGCTTCTTATATGGTTCCTGAAAAAATAGAGTCAATTGGCCAGAAAAGTGATAAGATAAGATATAATGTTTTTTAAAAAAAAAAGAGATCTAGAAAGGAAAAACTTCATAGAGAAGAAAAAACCTAACTTTGATAGGAAAAGAGAGAAGAGATTAAAAAAGTATAAACAGAAAAATAGGGAAAAAGAAAGGAAGAAGAGGATAAAAGGCTAGTAGCCAAAGAAGAAAGAAGGAAAGAAAAAGTAAATAACTCAAAAATTTTCCTAAAAAAAAAATTTCCAAGTGTAAAAAGAAGAAGTGGGAAAAAGTTTTTTAATATTTTAAATTCCAATTATTTATTATATATTATTTAGTAATTTTATTATAATACAGTTTTTAAAAAGATTTCTTATTTACTATATCTTTTAATAATATATAGTAAATTTTTATATAAGATTAGATATTAATATTTATAAAAAAATTTAATATAAAAAAAAAAAAAACTTTTTTTTATTTTTTTTTATTTTTTTTTAAAATAGAATAGAAATAAATATTAATTGTTTATTGATATATATATAATATCACAATTATATTAAATATCATCTGTAATATTAGACTATAGTTAAATGCTAGTCTATTCTATTTTATTGTCTCAGTGATACTAATAATACTCTTGAAGTGGGTTTATATTTTTTGGAAAGGATCAATTTAAAAGATAAAAGTCTTATCATTAGTTTAAACTATTTAATCTATTGATCCAACTATTTAAGGGATGATAACTGTTTTGAAATTAGGATTTATATTAGTATTCTATAGATTATCTCTTTCATATTACATCTTTGACTATTTTTTATCAAGAGTAAAATCAAAGGGAAATAAAACATATTTATATATTTTCTAGTAAATACTTTAAAACTATAATTGTTGATTGATACAAGCTATCAAATCTAGGAGCCAAAGGATTAAGTAAAACATAACTCTATTTTATCTCCTAATAGATACTCCAAAAAAATTCGATTAGTTTAAGCTATCAAATCCAGGGACATAAATATCAAGCAGGCATAACTCCTATATGGTTTGTGTAATGTTTCTCAGCCATAATACTCCCACATATTGGTGACCATATCAATAATTTCTTTAGAGTTAATTTTCTTTCTCTTAATATATATGTCAAATAAAATTAGTTAAAATAATATATAATCTAATCTATAGTACTAAATGTGTTGTTGTTTATGTGATATGACTGTGGAGTTTAACCAGAATTAGATCAAAAGCCTTTTTTCATGTAATTTTTTTCTTATATAATCTGTTACAACTCCATGATTACTGGAAAGGTCAAAAGTCCTATCTTCATATAGCATAATTAATTTTTTGTAATAAATTTTTGTAACCAGATGGGTTTGAACCCTAGATCTGCTCCTGGTAACCTATGAAGCATTACTACTATACTATAGATTTATAGATCTACTTTTTTTCACTTTCTTTTCTATATTTAAAAAAATTTTTTTTAAGAAATTTTTGAATTATTTATTTTTTTTTTACTTTTTTCTTCTTTTTATTCTTGTTTTCTCTTTCTTTATAATTTTTTTTCTCTTTTTTTTTTATCTTTTCTTTTCTCTATATCTCTTTATTTATTTTTTCTTTTCTTTTCTTTTTTTTTTTTGTCAAGTTAGATTTTTTTTTCTTAAAGTTTTTCTTTTTTAAATCTCTTTTTCTTTTTGAAATATTGTTTTTTATTTCATTATTCTTCTAGTCAGTTGACTTTCTTTTCCTAAAAATTTAAAAAAGAATAACTCTTTTCAAGAAGTAGGCTTTAATAAGTTTTTTTCTTCTATAATTTTTCTCAAAAAAAAAACAAATGATTTATTATTCAAAAGATTAATATAATCATTATTATCTAATTTGATATTGTTTACTTGCTAATGATTAGATTAGATATATTTAAAAATCTATTGTACAATTATTATTATCTGAATTTTCAAGGAGTTATATTCTATAGTTTTCAAAATAAAATAATAGTCAATATCAATATAAAATTCTTTACAAATATTATACTAGTAATTGAAACATCTAGTAAGATAATATATAATAATCAGGAATTTTAGTTATCCTTACAAACAGAACTATTAATAATAATGAAAGTTCCTTGCTTACTTCTTGACAATATAGGTCCCTTATATAAGGTTAGATATTAATATTTATAAGAAATTCCAATTCAACTTTATCTATTGAATATTTTCATCATATTTGAATAATATATATATTAAATTCTTTTTATAATTTGGAGATCTACTTGTATAAAGTAGTTACAGTACCTTTATATATAAAAGTAACC